TAAAACGGAAGATCTACTCATCCGACAGAACTCTCCGCAGCAAAAGTCGCCGAACTGCGGAAGGGCCATCAGCGGCGGAGGAAAAAGTACAAGGAAAATTTGAACGGCCAACAACGAGGTCCAAGCAGGAACACGACAGAAGTTTCCCGGTTCCGCCAAGACCAGCTGCCATCAAACGGCCAAGACCACAAGCAGAGGAGAAAAGGAAGGTATTCAAGGGTGGCCGAACTGGTGAAAAAAGGAAGCTTCCAGAGGAAAGCACTGAAGGGCGAGCCCGTACAAGAAGGAGGATAAATCAAACTACTATCTGCAGTACCTTTAAAGACTGGGCCCAGAAAAGGATGTCCGAATATTACAAAGATAAGTAAAATTTTATGTTACTTTGCAAACTTAAGTTAATCTTTCATTCTTACTGCAAGTGGCAGATTTCAAGAAGTTTTACCTCATGCGAGGTCTACCTTTATCGCCAAAGGGCGGGCGAGAAATGAGTTGTGACCGATTTTCGTATTATGTTTTTCAATTACTCGCGCGTAAAACTAAAGTTGATGTATAATAGCGTTGTGTAAAGACTTAAATATTGTAAAAAGTTATTGTATAAATTTTATTTAAAACATTCTAGCAAGAGAGAAGTTTTAGTCTGAAAGACTTTTTGAAATGTAGTTATTTCAATGTAGAAAGAATTGGCACTTGCTTTGAAAAGAATAGAAGTTAACAATGTACTACTAATGTATGTTTTCAAATGTGTAAAATTAACGGCATGTTGATATGTTCTTATACAATGTGAACTGTTATTTTAAATGTTAAGAAATACCGTGATATGGTAAAAGTGAAAGTAATGTTAAAAATTTTTTTATTCGTGTGACTGTAAAAAGACTAAATCATGGCGAATATGTGTTAAAGGTTGAATGATGTAGTTAGGCTCTCTGACACTACACTTTAGAGTTAGCCACTTTTAGAATAGTACCTCAGGGTTTAGAGTTGAAAGTAGGGTGTGTTAAGAGGTCTTGGCATGTTGAATTTTAACACGTTAGTGTTTTGATTGTAGGAGGAAGTGTGGCACACGTAGACAGAAACACATTCGTGTTTGGTGTTCTTTTACAACACATGTCAGAGAGCACGGGGAGAGATAATTAAAATAGTCATGAATGAAATAAGAATGTTAAGAGAAGTATAATTATATATGTTACTTGCCATTTCATTGTGTAACATTTCATTAAACTAGTTTTCCTTCCAGATCTCTGGAAGGAACCAGAATTGAATAAAAGCTCCTGTTTAGATGCAGTACAGATGAAAAAAAAATTGTTGTATATCCTGGGAGCTGCTATTGTAAAAAAAAAAAACAAATTTCTTTCTTTTAAATTTCTAGTTTCTAGCGAAGTATGTTTGTAAAAGATTGGCCTCGCGTTAGATTCTAGAGCTAAAAGTTTTCAACAAGGTCGTTTTAGACCTCAGTTTCAAACTAATTAACTCTGGCGGGAAGTATGTAAGGTTTCTTAAGTTTTACTAACGTTTATTTTATTTTAAATCTTTACTATCACTTCTTATTTTCTACTTCCGGCCAGAATTATAAGCGTTATGGTTTTTATGCAAAGTTGTCTGGCGAACGCCAAGTATTTAAGTTGTGGCTTTTTGCCAAGCGAGAGAGAGGAAGCAGTTGAGTCAAAGCAGGCCGCTTACCTTAGAAGTTACCCAGTTACTGTTTGCCTTCCAGGCCAGAGGTTTTAATCCTCTTGATAAATTTTAAAACGTATTGTAGTGTTCACAGTTCTCTGTACTACATACGCTTCCTGTTAATATAAGGCCAATCTTCCAAGTTTATTAGTTTAAAGTTAAATTAGAGTTTAGTTTTATTTTTATACTTTTACGTTAGACCCCAAGTAGCGGGTCAGTGTATTCCGAAGTGCGGAATTTATTGTATATAGAGAAAAATAAAGGGTTTTGTATACCCTTCATGTGCATCCTGTCTACTTACCACAATTAGTGAACATAGCTTTAGTAAGCTCTCTGTTCCGAGTCAGTTCCTTGTATGTTCCCGAAGAAGGTAAGAAGGAACATTGAACCTGATATACTTAGTTCGCAATGCTTAACCCAGACATTGCTTCAATACATAGAATTACGTTTGGGACAAAAAGAAAGTAAACATGTGACTGAAGTTGGATAAGCGTATTTATCAACTAATCATTCAGGTACTCAGTATTGGTAAACACGACACTGACTTTAAATATCTCACTATGATGTAAGTCTCATCTACAAAATGAAGATTATGATAAAAAGTGATTTAAAATGAGAAATTTTTCAATTTTAAATGTAAAATAGCAGAAAATGTAAAATTACATCACAGTTATGTATGAAAACTACATAAATTCATTAAAAAATAGTCAATTATTTTATCTGGTTGTAAAGAGTATTTACGTATTGGCGTGTATAATTCTGGCACAACGCTATAGCACAATTTGCCACTTCTGACTAGGTATAATAGCAAATTAACAACTCAAATCAAACTGTTGATGCAATGAAAGTAAAAAACGCCAAGAACTAACGATTGTCTTGTCATCCACATGACGTCATGCGCATGTGGCATAATTTTCTCCCTGCACTACGCATTGCTCTTGGGCCACCCCTGATGGGACACGTTGGAAGAACCGGTTTTCGCTACCGGTCGAATCTGCTCTTGTGAACGGGGCGTTTCACACATGCAAGCCCAAGAGGTTAGAACGTGGCCTTCGAGAAACAAGGCCAAGCTCTCTCGTGATGTCATGATGAGGAGTGCGAAGAAATCTCTCTCTTGCATTCGAAGCTAGTGAACCCACAGCGCGCTAATTTATCAGAGAAGCTAATTTTATGTTATTCTGATGTAAAGTAAATAGGAGATCATTAAATAAATGATACTATCACGTTATAAATAAATGACACTATCACGTCTTAAAGCATGATATTTATTTATTATATATCATGCTTTAAGACTTCAGATATCTGAGCTTATTTTTCTTAATACTTGATAAAAATTTTCACCTGGATGATCAATAATTATTTATATTAGTCCCATTTTATTTTCCATAGATTGGATAAACTTTCCAACACTTCATAACGAGAAAATGTTAAGCTTTCGAACTGCAAACGAAACATTGCATATTATTTTTCATTCATATGTAAACATGGAAAATATGAATATAAAAAGAGCATTTTACAAGAACCAACTTTTTCTTACAGACTTTTTTAAATAATATTTAATTTTCTTCAGTATGGCGATAAAATGAAAGAACTAGCATTTTCGGTTATTACATTTATTGTTTAAACAAATTTTAGTGTAGAAGATCTTTTATAATAAACTAAATATTAAAAAGGAATATTTCATAATTTATTTATCGATATAAATGTATTAAAATTTATTTTTAATGTCAGCATTGTTTTAAACTGTCAAATGGTGCTATTATTATTATTAAAATAATTATTAAACTTACAGTGATCCAGATTCTTACAGAATAATAACCAAAGATCTATTTTTGATCTGTCACAGAAAATCATTTTACTTTAATTTTGCCGCCTGTCTTTATTAAACACTTTTTTAATTGCGATATGAATTCTTACTATTCTATATTACTCTTTAGCGAAATCTTGATATGTCCACTTTAGAGTTTATGATCATAATAGTTAATTTCGTAGCTCTCTAGATCGAAAGTTGTGCCTGCAACTAGGTGTGAGTTTTGATTTTTTGGATTAATTATGTGAATTGTAAAGGGGAAAAAATAATAATTCTCTGAAAATTTAATAGACAACATTTTGAAAGGAACACACTTCAGAATTACGTTTTAAATTTTAAAATATGCAAGGCAGTTAGCCGAGGTTCCCACATCTCGTTACCGAAGCACACGTGATAAAGCCTATATCAGATCAGGAAAGTGCAATGATAATATAGGATACCGGACGTCCCTTGCAAAAGCACTTCATTCTCCCAGTATATTTAATCTTTTTTAATTCTTTATTCTATTGCATCCATTTAAAACATCATATACTCTATAGCTTTTAAAAAATATAGCATTTTGCTAATGTATGAAGTTTAATTTAAAAAAACGTAACAGCAAAATTTTATGGGGGGATAAGTCTAAGCTTTATAAGCAACTGGTGTAACAATATTGTTTTCAAGTTTTGTTTATATATTTTTAAAAATATAATATTAATTACAATTTTCACAAAAATTTTGAAAATATGACAAAAAAATGATAACGCAAATTTGTGAAAAACACAAATTTGAATTTTTAAATGAAAAACATTATTACTTTTAAATCTTTAAATCTATAATGACAAGTACATTAAAAATAAAATTGAAGTAATTAGATATTACAAATCATTTAATGCTATATGATTAAGATATAATCATAATGCACAGCGTTTCAGCAATACATGAAAAAAAATTTACAATACATTAAATAATCCTGTAGTATTATGGACTTGATTAGTTTATTGTTTGCTTTTATATTTTACACTAGTTATTGTTTACTTTTTTACACTAGTTTTTCAGTAGAAATCATTTTAGCTTTAAAAATAGACAAAGTAAACGCATCGAATATTTAATCTAGTTTTCTTTAAATATCAATGAAATCATAGTAATGAAACCTCACCCTGCTGTTTTTAGTCCGAATGAAGGCCTTCCGTTTTATTGCACGTATCCACTTTCACATCTGCATCAACAGGAAAAGCGAAAATATGTATTGTAATTTCAGTTGCATCGCGGCACTGAACACATGTAAGACATTATATTGTTTCTGGAACAACCCACAAATTGCAAAAAAACTCAAATTTAAAGTGTCCAACTACGAAAAAAGCACGGTATGTACCAAGGTATTACGATACATTGCCAGCTAGCGAAGCATATTTTCGCGCATGCGTGAAGCGTTAGCCTCGCAGAACGGAGACGCTACTTTCAAATAGGGAATATCCCGAAATTGGAATGTGTTCGTTTTCCTATTTTGCGCACTAAGCACCAAAACTGGTCCAATGGTAGATCAGGATTGTTAGCGGGCAGGGTTGCCAGTGTTACTTGTGTTTGATTGCAAACATATGCTACTGCTCGTTGTCTATTCATTTTAGGTTACTGTTATTTAAGTGATGTGATTAAACCGTTGGCCAAGAAAGAAATGCCGAAAAAAGGGAAAGGTAAATCTGACAATGTTTCATTTTAATAACAAAATTGTTAAAAATTATTTAGGTCTGAATGTAGTTAAACGTTACAAGTAACAGATTTAAAGCTAATCTGAAACTATAGTGAAATATGGTTTCTTAAAATGGCATACTCAAACAAATCATAATGGTTAGGGATCAAAACAAGAAACTTTTCAGTAGTTTGTAATTCTCACTAAGAGATTTTATGGAAATATTCAGCCAATAAAATTATTTTTAAAGAAACCTATTGCTTAAATTTTTACTTAAGTTGCCTTATAATGAGTTTTATTTTCCGAAATGTTTATTCACTGCTAGTAACGTCAAGCCTTAAAATCAAAACTACCTTAAATTGAATCAATAAGTTAAGAGATGCTTAATTATTAGGTATTATTTATTAGATATCATGGTAAATTTTACCTCTGTATGTAATGAAATATGAAAAACAAGCACTTTTACCCCTACAGTTTTAGAATTTGCTTGACCTCTGTTAAATTCTTTCTGTGATCATATATCACACTATAGACTTCATTTTTTCCCCTGTTACTGTCATTAAGTAGATTTTTAAACCTTCATTATTTGTTTCTAATGGATGTTTATAAGAAACAAAAATTACATTTGTCTGTTTTTTCTTATTCAAGTGTCTAGTTAACAGAGTGCAATGTCAACATCATAATTGAATTCTTATTCTTAATTACTCTTATACTATTTCCTCAGTTTCAAGCACATTCATGTAGTTTAAATCTATTCTGCATTTTAATTAAGCATTTTTGTTCTTTCAGTGGATTATAAAAATAAGTTTAATATTAGTACTTATGATGCAGATGCTAGCTGGCAATGTTAATTCTGATATGAATATGATGTGAAGTTATCGAAAGAAACCCAAAATTAGAATCTGATTTTAATTAATTTATTCATTGTATTGTACTTCCAAATTAAAATTATCATAAATCATTATTTCATGCAATGAGCCTTAAATTTCTCATTGATGCCGTAATGGTAGAACTACTTGTTTTTACTTGACTGCATTGATATCTAATGGCGCAGAAGCCATAGCTAGAGTTTTCACTGCCCGGGGACAGTTGAAGATTTCGCATCCCTCTTGTTTGCCTAGAAGGAAAAACATTTAATTCCAAAATTTTGTGGCATCAATTTGGCACCCCCTTGGATGCTGTGCTTGAGGACAGATGTCTCCCTTTCTTCCCTATCTGACTATATATAATTTAACACTGTCTACAGTGTTAATAATAATTTAACAGTTTAGTGTTAGTAATTTAACAGTTTAGTGTTAATAATAATATATAATTTAACACTGTCTACAGTGTAAATTATATATGGTCTTAAAAAAAAAAATTCTCTAAACTTTGGTGAAACAATAAACAATGTTTTTTCCACAGACTTTCGTTGCATCGCTTGTTAATAAAAATACATATATTGTACAGCCTGTAGATCGAAAATGCCTCAGATTTGTATTTCATTCCAAAGTCTGTTTGTTTCCTTTCATGTTTACCCTGTTGTCCTACCCATGACTGTTCATAACATATAATTTCTAGATTATCCACTTATAAACTGTGTTCAATTAAGATAGTTTGGGGCCTATAGATAGGCTGTTCTTTCAAGTGTTATATATGCTTTCCTTATTTATTTTCATTCCAGACTGGTCTTTTCTTGGTTTTAGTTTTTCAGTTAATGACCTTTAAATTAGACAAGTCTCTCTCCAGACAGTCTAGCCACCTGAGTTTCGGTTTTCATCTCTTTAAAGAACCCATTGGAATATATGTGATAATTTTTCTGGTTGTTCTGTTTTTTGGCTATTCTGATTAGATGAGCAGTGTTATCTTAATGTTTGGGTGCTAATAAAATTTATGATGTCTGAATACCGGTATATCCTGTAGATTACTGTGTTGGTTTTTCTCTGGATGCCATCTGTTTGAATGCCTTCAACAATGCTTCTCGGTCTCCTTGAAAGACTGAAGCTGTGTACAGCAAGGAATTTAATCTTTTTCATTTCATATGTGCATCTTTTTGTAGACTGATATACTACGAAGTTCAAGATCCAGAATTGTCGGGAACTCTGAGATTTTATATTTTGGCAGTTTCCAAATTTTAGATCATCATTTTAAATCTAATAAGATGACGCATAGAAATTATAAAATAAGTATATGGAATAATGAAGGATTTATGACAGTAAGGAAATGAAAACTGACAAAAAAGTGTTTGTAATTTAAGCATTTGGTTAATCTTTACGGTTTCACTTGGCGAATCGTTGATTTTTTTACGCCAAAATCGGCATCACAAAGTATTGGCACCAATTTCAAGATGGTGCCGATCCTTCCACCACCTACTGAAAATTTAAAAAAAAAAAAAAAAACTCTTACACAAACTCTGTGTCCATGTACACATTACCCTATTTTAGCTTAAAAAAAAAAAATCAGAGAATTGCACAAACAAGGCATTGTGCACTAATATAACTTTCTCCATGTACACATCGATCTATTTTCACTTAAACAAAATCAGAAAGCTAAAACAAAGTTAAAACTATCATCTTAACCAGAAAAAGTTCGCTGCTGTCTTAACACATAGAGACAAACAAATAACCAAAAATTCTCAAACACAGGGTAATAAATAACCAAAAATACATATTTCCTAACATAGAAACATTAAACAACAAATCTTTCAACAATAATTAACACACAGACGCCAATAAATAAAATGTCAATTCCTTAACATACCTTTTTTTCACGTGCATACGTTAATGCCTCCCACCAGCATTTTGTCCTCATAAGCAATTCAATTAAATATCTGGTCGTTTCAACTCATCCGCTATTAATAGTGGTTAAATATGTATAATAGCTTCCAAGAAAGCCCATAAATCCATTTTTTTCCCCCTGCTTCTTCTTGGATCACACATATTCGGCCAAATAATAGTGCAAGCGTCCTTCGTTTTCCTCCTGCCTAAACCCCAAAATCTCCAGTCCATACAAAAGGGTTACTATTACAAAAAATAGCCAAAATCTCAACTTATTGTAACACATTTAGCAATATTCACAATTTTTCCCAAGACTAGTTTCATCAACATTAGGGTTACCTAGAAACCTACTTCACGCAGCGGGCTTCCAAATTTTACAAACAAGCGATACCACTGGGCAATTTTTTTCAGACGGAAACCAAGCGTACCCGTACAGTAAATTTCAACCAAACATTTCTTTTAATGTAAGTTGTTAAAGCCTTTTTAGTCCAAAGCGGCAGTTTGCCCTGAAGGACTATTAATTTCATTTTGGCATTTTGCATTGAGAATTTTAAAAGGCTGTATCACTTTTCAAATCATTGCCACAATATATTATCACCCTGTCTTATATTTAAAGAAATTAAATAATGAATCTGCATAAATGTATGTATTTTTCTCGCATTGTGATAAAACGATGGTACCTAGAGCCATCAAAATTTGAATAACGCAGTCTTTCATAGAACATGAGCATCTGGAAACCCTAATTTGAATTTGAAATTTGTTTTATTATCGATTTCAGATTTTGTAACACTTCAACGAATTTTTGATTAAAAAAACTAAATGATTTCAAAGCGAGCAATGGCAACACTGTATGAAAAAAACGTTTTCATCTCCAGCGAGCGAGACTCTGTATCGAAAATACTAAAGATATGCTCATTTTAAAATTATTTTACTATATTGCTTTTGAACTGAATTTTATAGTTTGATTACGTAGAACATGATATTTAATAAATAAAGGTAACACACAAAACGGTAAAAAAACGCCCCTTTGGATGTAATTTAAAATCTGAAACCTTTCAGATTTGTTGTCTTTTTTTAATGTTTTCTCTTTAATTTTAAATTTCTATTGTTCAAGTCCTGTATTTACCATGTCACTAAACTGTCAGTTAAATTTTTTCATTCTCAGCAACCTTGTAGTCACTTTCTTCACTATAAATTTTTCTGTATTTAAAAACCATGCTATGGATTTTGCGTTCCATTAGATAAATGATGATTAAGACATTGTTATCTCCATGGAAAACATCTGTTAGAATCATCTTCAGATATTATCATTTCTTCACAGATTCTATTAATTGGAAAATTTTGCCTTTTCTCTATGGTATCTAAAAACCTTCAAATTTGTGCTTTAATCACCACCATGCACTACGGTAGCCGGCCATAAATTATTCGAAACATTTTAAAAATATCTGCAGACATATCTTTCCATAATCTTGCTACCTTTCACGTAGCAGATTTTTATGTTAAGTTATTTAAAAAAGTCGAATAGTCATGTCACTGTTCAGAAAATTGAGCATAGTTTTTATAATTTCTATATTATGTCCATATTTCAGCATGGCACTCCAATACCCATAGGCTTGAATGATACATATACAGTTTAGAGGGGGAAATAAGATGGGGGCCCTTTACCCTTTTACTAGAACTACATGTACTAAAGTGAAATATGAACTAAACTGTTGTCTTTAAGCAGCAGATTTTTGCATCATCTTATAAACTAAGTTTTTAAAATATTGCTTAGATAGGTAATGGTTTGTATTTATTAATCATTTATTAATGCTTATGTTGTACATTCTCTTTTATTTGAATCATAGGCAACACAGAAAATCTCCATTTTTTTAAATGTTTGAGGTCATGTAGTCTTTCCTCATGAAATTGTTTGGTTTGGGCCATTATTGTGGAAGTAATCATGATATGCTAATATTTTGAAAACAGATATAATAGGGTGCCTACGAGAATAAGGAAAAAGTCCATGACATGTATGTGATTAAACTTTCTATACTTTTAGAAGTAGATCAAAGTAGTTACATTCAGTATTTTAATATACACTGCTGGCCATTAAAATTGTAACACCTTGAAGAAAAGCAACTTTGTCCATGCACACATTGATATATTTAAAAAGTCAAAGGAGCACCCAGTTCTACAATACAGGCAAACAAGAAATACATATTCTCAATAAACTACATTTTAAACCAAACAATAAAATAACATAAAAAAGGAAAAACATGTTATACATTTAAGCACTACAAAAAGCAAATATTCACGTACCCTATTTAGAAGTTCCTTCGTCTTTACACTGTGGCACACAAAATTCCTTAACAGCATCCAAAAACTTCCTAAAATTATCTGAACTCGAATCCATATATTCGTGTTGCCACATCTGAACCTTTCTTCCTACAAACCCATTCAAATCCGTCTAAATGGTTTTTACGATCGACGAGACGCGTATCCTTCCTACATACAGGATACTTGTAATGGCTACTAAGTAAACCTTCATTTACACACAAGTCAATTAATGCTCTTTTCCTCTTTCGTTCCAAATCGTACAGAAACTTCAAAATAATCTTACTACATTCAGCCATTCTACCATCTCAACAATAAAACCAACACACACCACAAAAGCGCTTACAAAACATCCCATGATTCAAAATTTCCCAGAATCATGCACCCAATTATGTCACAATAGGGTTTCCATAACATTCAACTAGTCAGGCTACCTTAAATGAAAAAACAACTTTGCCATAATACAAGGGGTACGTTAAAGTGTACTCTAACTGTAGTTTTTTAGAAAAGATAAGCAAGTTTACTATGCACTAAAAGATGAAAATTTCCCTGGCTGCACATTTAATTTTATTACTTTGCTAATCTTCTCTTGAGACTTACTTGCATAACTCCTAGAAGTGATTCATGCTTCAGTTTGGTAATCACTGATTTAAAGTTATCAGGACTAGTGTTTCTTTTGACTTGCTTTGGAAACATGAATGGTCCTGAATAGGAACAGGGAGCTTACTCAAGCTATGTTCAAGAATGTGTGAAGTAGACAATACGAGCAGAAAGGGTATACGAAACCCTTTTTTTTCTATACTTTAGAGGAATTTCCGAAACTTCGGAATACAGAGACCAACCACTTGTGGTCTGAACGTAAGAATATAAAAATTCTAACTGTAACTAACTTTGAATTAGTATACAAGTGCCTAGCACTAAGATTAGCCTTTATTTAAAGAAAGGTTCGTATGTAGTATGGCGAGCTGCTAAAACTACGATACGTCTGCAATTATCAAGAGGGCTAAACCTCTGGCCTTGAAGGCAACCAGCAACAGAGTGAAAACTCGTAAAACTACAGTGGCAAGCGGCTTGCTTCCAATAACTCCTTCCTCTCTCTTGCTTGGCAAAAAGCCACAACTTAAGTACTTGGCGTTAGCAAGACAATTTGCATAAATAAGTTAAAAGTGTTTAATTCTGGCTGGAAGTAGAAAATGAGAAGTGATAGTACAGTTTTAAAATAAAATAAACATTAGTAAAACTTAGGATCCTTACAAAGTGTATCTGCTTTCTTAATAAATGTTATTTCGCTTGTAGGGTTTATATTTATTTTAACTAATATTTATTTTAAGTTTAAGCTATCTTTCCTGTCAATCCTTTACTTTCCATTGGAAGTGCCAATGCCAGAGTATGTAAATTTTAGTAGAATGCACAGAGTATTCAAATTTCTTAGCAGAAGTAATTTGAGTTAAATAGAAGGGAAACAAGTTTGTAAGGGTGCTTCTTGATTCACAAGCGTGAAGGTTGCTTGGTGGAAGTTTAAGAACCGCGCGTTTCGGCCTGTATGCCTACTTCGGCAGTTAGTTGAATTCTTTCAACGTCTTAATCAGAAAATTTGCTGAATCTCAGCTGTATCTTAGAACGCAGTTAAGATAGTTACAATTATAGAGCCTCGTAGATAGTGACTTCGTTAGTTATGCATCCTGTTATTTATTTTTAGTTGTACTCTTCTATTTTTTGTTACACCGCTAGGTCGGCGTAGTTTGTGAGCGTCAAGTGAACGCAACTGTAAGTTCTAAAGTGAAATAAAAAGGGATTAAACCCTTCTTACGAGTTTGTGTAACTTCCAGTTCATAGCAGTCACTACTACTGTTGCGGACAAGTTGGGGCCACGCAACATTACACGCTAATTGCTTGAACATTTATCAAAATTGTTTTTTCACTTAGGCAAGAGAAAAGGCAAAAATCCTGCACAGCAACAGGCTGGAACGCTTGAAGAGGCTGCATATAAAGAGCAGGAGGATATTTTCACAAAACAAGGGAAAGTTATAAATTGTTACATTGCGAAGTCTTGCAGAATTGAAGAAATGGGATAAAATTTTTAATAATATCACTTAAAAGATGGAACATTCTTTATTTTGCCATTTATGAGAAATTAAAAATAGAGTTAAAAACTTCAAATTAATCTTACTACATTCAGCCATTCTATTGTCTAAACAATAAAACCAACACACACCACAAAAGCGCTTACAAAACATCCCATGATTCAAAATTTCCCAGAATCATGCACCTGATTATGTCTAAATAGAGTTTCCATAACATTCAACTAGTCAGGGTACCATAAATGAAGCAACAACTTGGGGATAAATGAAAAAACAACTTTGCCATAATACAAGGGGTACGTTAAAGTGTACTCTAACTGTAGTTTTTTAGAAAAGATAAGCAAGTTTACTATGCACTAAAAGATGAAAATTTCCCAGGCTGCACATTTAATTTTACTACTTTGCTAATCTTCTCTTGAGAGTTACTTGCATAACTCCTAGAAGTGATTCATGCTTCAGTTTAGTAATCACTGATTTAAAGTGTATCTGCTTTCTTAATAAATGTTATTTCGCTAATTGCTTGAACATTTATCAAAATTGTTTTTTCACTTAGGCAAGAAAAAAGGCAAGGATCCTGCACAGCAACAGGCTGGAACGCTTGAAGAGGCTGCATCTAAAGAGCAGGAGGATATTTCCACAAAACAAGGCAAGGTTATAAATTGTTACATTGCGAAGTCTTGCAGAATTGAAGAAATAGGATGAAATTTTTAATAATATTACTTAAAAGATGGAACATTTGTTATTTTGCCATTTATGAGAAATTAAAAATAGAGTTAAAAACTTCAAATTAATCGTACTACATTCAGCCATTCTACTGTCTAAACAATAAAACCAACACACACCACAAAAGCGCTTACAAAACATCCCATGATTCAAAATTTCCCAGAATCATGCACCCGATTATGTATTAAGAGGGTTTCCATAATATTCAACTAGTCAAGCTACCATAAATGAAGCAACAACTTGGCGATAAATGAAAAAACAACTTTGCCATAATACAAGGGGTACGTTAAAGTGTACTCTAACTGTAGTTTTTTAGAAAAGATAAGCAAGTTTACTATGCACTAAAAGATGAAAATTTCCCTGGCTGCACATTTAATTTTACTACTTTGCTAATCTTCTCTTGAGAGTTACTTGCATAACTCCTAGAAGTGATTCATGCTTCAGTTTGGTAATCACTGATTTAAAGTGTATCTGCTTTCTTACTAAATGTTATTTCGCTAATTGTTGAACATTTATCAAAATTGTTTTTTCACTTAGGCAAGAAAAAAGGCAAGGATCCTGCACAGCAACAGGCTGGAACGCTTGAAGAGGCTGCATCTAAAGAGCAGGAGGATATTTCCACAAAACAAGGCAAGGTTATAAATTGTTACATTGCGAAGTCTTGCAGAATTGAAGAAATAGGATGAAATTTTTAATAATATTACTTAAAAGATGGAACATTTGTTATTTTGCCATTTATGAGAAATTAAAAATAGAGTTAAAAACTTCAAATTAATCGTACTACATTCAGCCATTCTACTGTCTAAACAATAAAACCAACACACACCACAAAAGCGCTTACAAAACATCCCATGATTCAAAATTTCCCAGAATCATGCACCCGATTATGTATTAATAGGGTTTCCATAATATTCAACTAGTCAAGCTACCATAAATGAAGCAACAACTTGGCGATAAATGAAAAAACAACTTTGCCATAATACAAGGGGTACGTTAAAGTGTACTCTAACTGTAGTTTTTTAGAAAAGATAAGCAAGTTTACTATGCACTAAAAGATGAAAATTTCCCTGGCTGCACATTTAATTTTACTACTTTGCTAATCTTCTCTTGAGAGTTACTTGCATAACTCCTAGAAGTGATTCATGCTTCAGTTTGGTAATCACTGATTTAAAGTGTATCTGCTTTCTTACTAAATGTTATTTCGCTAATTGTTGAACATTTATCAAAATTGTTTTTTCACTTAGGCAAGAAAAAAGGCAAGGATCCTGCACAGCAACAGGCTGGAACGCTTGAAGAGGCTGCATCTAAAGAGCAGGAGGATATTTCCACAAAACAAGGCAAGGTTATAAATTGTTACATTGCGAAGTCTTGCAGAATTGAAGAACTAGGATAAAATTTTTAATAATATTACTTAAAAGATGGAACATTCTTTATTTTGCCATTTATGAGGAATTAAAAATAGAGTTAAAAAGTTTGTAATTGATTTTGTTAGTAAATTGAATTAATTCATTTTAAAACATATTACAGGTTGTGTTGGTTTCATTGATAAAATAGTTTCATATTTAGTTCTTGTGAAGTTTTATCAGCTATCATTTGTTTTCATTTAAGGTGGAGGAAGTTACAAAACGTCTGAACGGGAAGTTGTCCAGCAGGCAGCTGGAGTACTGTATGAAGCAGCTCCTTCTAGGCAGCTTGAGATCCCTCTTCCAAAAGAGAGCAGAGGTACCAAAGTTTTTTGTGTTGTGAAATACTGTTAAATCTAAGACATAAGATAAAAGGGAATTAATTTTGAAAAACTTAAATATTATAACTATTTTGCAATAGTGAGCTAATTAAATTAAAGCACATAATCTGCATTTGCTTCATTCATAAATTTCTGTGTATTGTTTTAATACTTATGTGAAAATTATTTTGATTATAAATAGATGGCATTAACGTGACACCATAAGTGTGATGTACCTTTTTTGCTTCTCGTAAACTCCCTGTTGCATTTTTCTCTCCTTTTTTGATTTGATTTCGGATGCAAATTTGTTAGACGGAATTAAGTTCCTCTTAAATTTAATTCTGTTTGATTAAATCTAAACTGAACAACAAATGTATATAAATGTAAATATTGTATAAATATTAAACATCTATTTTAAATTTCTGAGGTTTTGATCTTGGGCTGAGTACTTTCGATTCACGTATTCCTGTTTTGAACTGTTAATGATTTTCAGAAACGAAACTTAGTGAATGAATTTTGAACCTATACTATCATATCTTCATACTGAATTAATTAAAATTGCTTGGATCCTCTTTACTTTGGATGCATGGAAAAGGACCAAGTTTTGTTTTTATTGTTCGAGATGGATATTGATAAATTGCAAGAGAAGAGATACGCCTAAAAGGGTATAATAACTAATTTAAAATGTGGAAGATAATGACGGTAAAAATGATTTGAAAGCTTTGAAAATTCTTTTGTTGCAATTAACTGAAAAAATTAATAACAGGAAATTGATTGATGATGAAATACTGAATTAAACTGATGAAAACGATGTTGGAATTGAAGTAATTAATAGTGAAGAATACTTAGAATAACATACTTGTAAATTGAATGAAATAATTCAAGTATTAAATTTTGAAGTTAATAGTGTTTCTGGTACAAGTCAGACTACAAACAGTACTGTTTTAAATCCTACCTGGGCAATTTGAAATTGCTATCGATAAAAATCTTAATTTGAGTAAAGTTGAAAAATTGATATATTTCCAAAATTTCCTTGGAGGGCCTGCTGTGAAAACTGTTGCCTGCCGGTTTAGCATTAAAAGAAGAAAATTTTAATGTAGCTTTAGAACTTTGGTGGTCTAGATATGGACAAAATAATCTAAGAAAATTAATTCTGAACATGAACAGTGATGCCAGTTACGTTGAGAAAATTATTTTGTTGCATTTATTGCCAGATTTGATTTGTAGCTACCTAAAGGTGAAGTAATAATGTGGACTATCCTCCCAATTTTTGATTAATAATATGCAATTAGCAATCAAAACATGCAATAAAGTTCTCAGTTCAAAATAATAATTCAGTTTAAAAGTTTATTCCAGAAATCTAGAACTTAGTAGTCCTTCTGCTTCTTGTCATGATAGCTTTTTGGTTCATTGGCGAGGTAAGAAGAGATTAATCAGGCAAAGAAAGTTTTCCTCCTTCTTTCGGATCCTCTTCAACTGATGAAGGTATCTTCAGGGGAAAATTTTTTGAATGGGTCATGCCATCTCCATAAGCTGTTTTAACTGGAACTACTCTAATGTTTCCATCTTGACATTAAACTGCCAATCAACTTGGCCATCAGCGAGGATGTTCTCCATTTCCCTTCAGTTCCTATCAGGACAATGTCTTCAACTTTTCCATTAAAACAGTGGACTTTTGTGGATATTGAATCAGTTGGCCAAGATACTCATTGTGGATATTGAATCAGTTGGCCAAGATACTCATTCTTAAATCTCTTAAAATATCCCTCAAATCTGGTTGACATCTTAGCCTTATGTTAAGGTTAATTTTATACACATGATCTAAGTCAGGTACTCCAACCTCTAGTTTCTCCCAGAAACATTTCTGTCGTTAATGGGATAAGGTCTTCTGAATCATTGGAGACATTGATGAGTCGTCTAGAATTCCCTACAGCTTTGTAATCACATAAAACTCTCTCTCCTTGTCTGTTAAAGGTGACCTTCGTAAAACTCGATGGAGAAATTTTTTATTCATTTGAATTATCCTGTTCCGAAACCATCCCCACCAGAGAACTCCTAGAGGGTCAAAACTCCATTGAGCTATGTTTATTGAGGCTCTATTTTCAGTGATATCCCAGTTTATGAATTTGAAGAAGATGTTGGCTCCTACAAAATTACTTCCATTATCACTGTAAATAACTATGGGAATGTGCTCTTCTTGCAATAAGTCTTTACAATACAAGTAAAAAACTTTGTGTTGAAAGAGAGGCTTTTAGTACCAACTGAATAGCCTGATATACTGCACAAGTAAACAAAATAATCCAGGCCTTTTCTTGATTTTTTGAAAACAGAGTACCTGGTAAATTCACTCTGGAGATCTCAAAAGCAGAAGCATAGCAAACTCTATTTTCAGGCGAAGATACTAAAATACCCTCCATTCTTTTATCTTCATGTTTTCTATATTTGACAAATTGGGATATAATTCTTTAAACTGTCTTTCTGCTTTTAAGTATCCAAAATATTTCTCTTAGCTTGGCCATCAGAACACATAAACCGATGTGATGCATCTTTAATGATGTATTCAATAAGCTTATAATTGCTTGGAAGCAGAATGCTGTAGATAAATATCTTCATGATCTTTTCTTTCAGTCAGCTTGGTTTTGACCCTTATGATATTTTCTCCATCCATAACGACCAACACTCATTGATTTCAATTTCTTAATGTTTTTTTTTCATCAAATACATCTTGATGGCCTATTTTACCACATCCATAGCATTTATTATCATCCTGGTCACAGTGTCTGGATAAACGCCCACGTATGTAACACACTTTCATGTGCTTTTTTCAGTCTTGGGCAATGTGACCAGTTCTTTCACAATTATAACATTCATTGGATTTCATGATCTTTCTTACCACTTCTTTTTTTGGTGGAGATATACGATGCCCTTGAACTATGATAGGGAGCTTGCTACTGGTGTTAATATAATGTTGAAGAGTAGGTCCTCCCTCTGATTAAAAGACATCTGAATTAAGCAGATATTTCTCCACACTTTCTCTTAACAGAAATTCGTGAAGACTTGCCTTATTCTTAGCAGATGATTTGAAAATGTCATCACTAAAGTTAAATTTCTGTTAAGGGTTGTTGTGGAAATACCATGTATTTATTTGAAAGGTCTAAAACACTTTTAGCACGACATAAAAATTCAGTTCCTAAAAACATTCTGTTATCTTTTTCTGTAGGTAATGCAAGTAAAGTTATTTGGAGTGATTCACCTTCAATTTCAATATCTACTTTGGTTGTATAAACTTTTGTTTCCTTCTGTAGACCATCGGTCTGGGTAACATTAATACATGTTTTCCTAAATTCTCTTCCTCTTTCTCTCAAAAGATGATATAACGTTTCTCCTGCTATAGTGTAGCTTCAGTAACAGCATATGCAATTATAGTAAACCCATTTATTTTTACTCTCAAAAAGAGTCATCTGGGGTTTCTGACAGAATGTTTGAAATTGTATAGCTCTGAAATCAGCTTTTGCTTTCTTGAGAGGAGATGAGCAGATGGGGCATTTGCCTTGATAAAGACTGACTTCCAACACCCATAGCAACTAACTGGTGGTTGATCTTCATTTTTTGCATCATCTCTTGATGAGGTGTTTTTAGTATGCTGAGAAGTACCTCGATAATTTTAGGGACCATCTCATTGTTGAAACTTAAGGGCTTTCTTAGTAACATTTTTATTTCACACAGAAGGTTCTTTTGCAATTAGTTTTGAAACATCAGTTGGTAGACGACCAACAAGATAGACTACCCATTTTTAATCTGGTACCTTCAGAAGGGTTAATTGCCTCTCAAACAAGTCCAGAAATAAACTCATATTGGCTGTTTCAGGATCAAAATTAGGAATTAACTTGTTCTAATTTAGGCATTTATGCATCTACTGAAGATACCATTGCAGACTATAATAGCAGTAATGCTAGATTGTAATTTAAGTTTCTTCAGTTCAAGCAATGGTTCATTTTCTTTCATTCTCTCAGCACACTATTCAATTTCCATTTCTTTCCTATCATTTATGATGCGGTTGAAATATTCTTTCGTAAACTCCGTGTCATATGCGAGACTAGTGGGATAGTCTCCACTAATTTTATTAAATCATGTTTCTTCCCTTTTGCTATATAAGCCATGCTTAAATGAAAGTTGATAAGTTTCCTCAAAATGTTCACCTATAACTTTTAGTATGCCAACATATATAGGGTTTTTAATCTTTATATGGATTTAACGCACATCAAACACACATATTCAAGAGAAAAACATGAAATAAAGTAACTCATTTTATATCACTTTCTGTTGATTGCTTGAAGTAACATGTAAAATAACCAATATCGTTCTCAAAACATAACTGTTATAGAATACTTTCAGTAATTTACATTAATTCAAAATATAGCAACTTGGGAACTATGTATTTCTATGCTTTTTCTGTTTTCGAAACAAAACTAAGTCATTTATTTTGTATTTATTATATCTAACGTTTATTTCACTGCTTCATATTGAAACTTGCATAGAACAAAATATTTGGAATTTTATATGAAATTCGAATATTATTTAAAAAAACTGCCAAAGTAGCGAATGCTACTACAAAATTCCTCATTTAATTTTCAGCAGTACCTCAAAATTTATTTTTCGTTACTAAAGGAACTGATTGATAGGCAACAGAAATCATAAAATATAATCAGGCTGATCACACTTTATATGAAAGAATTCAAATTCAGCAGAACATTTAACTAATTCAGATTATCACTGAAAACAAAATTTTGTCGATGTGACCAGAATTCTTATATTTACTTGATCCTAATGATCAATGAAAGTGAAATTAGATCAAGGTGACCACAATTTTTTACTTTTCTTTTAGTTCCGAATTTATGTACTTATAAATCATCAGAGATTAATGTTTACTTATCTTTATCATATCCATGGACTGTCTGTCATTATCACTCTTGGTTTTGACAATCCATATGGGGATTTTCAGCCACATAGTAGGGCTGCTACTTTTTATAACATATATTTTCGTCCTCAGTGTAACTAAAGCTTCTTATTGTTAATAATTAAGACAATGGAGCATGACGAACCCCAATTTATTAATAAAGTAACACACACAAAAGAAATAAAAGTGAGAGATTTTGTAAGTTACATTGCTCATTTGCAGAGTTCAAGTCCTAACAAGAGTAATGTTTGTCTTTTGGTGAATCTCACACCATGTAACCTAGAGTAGGTGTTCCATTCGAAGAATAACTCATGCCATCTGTTACGAAAGCCAGTTTTGAGCTACAACATGATTAAAAAATTTTAAAGCATTCTAAATTTCAAAATTTCATCGCCACTCAAGATACACTGTATATAATTGAAAGTGCAACACCAAGAAGTAGTGGTCAGAAATTTATGCAAATTTTAGAGTAGATGCACGTCGGTGATTTATGCGAATGATGTGAATTGCACAGCTCTCCGAAGAACGTGAAGTAAGATATAAGGGAAGGAATGTGCAGAATGGGCAATATTCATGTCGTTATTTCTGCCAGACGAATTATCGAAGAAAGTTGGTTTTTGTCCCGGAGGATACGTGTAATAGGAGAGAATGCCAGGCCGCCGTCAACGAAGGCACTTCCAGCAGATGGACGATTTTACGAGGGGTATGGTGATTGGACTGAGAAGGGCGTGTTGGTCCTTGCATCAAATCGCAGTTGATACCCACATAGATGCGGGCATGGTGCACCGGCTATGGCAACATGGTTGGAACAAGGAAATGTGAGGAGAGGTGCAGGTGCAGCCAGAGTGACGTCAGCACGGGTGGATCGACACATCCGCTGACAAGCTGTGCCGGTCCCTCAAGTCACTTGTACTGCTATTCTGCAGCATGTGCAAGTTACCCTGGATGTTCCTGTATCGACCAGAACCATTTCCCGTCGATTAGTTGAACATGGCCTGCACTCATGGCGTCAGTTAAGAAGATTGCCATTGACCCCATAGACGCCAACGTTTAGAATGGTGGTGGACTAGAGCGATGTGGATGACAGAATGGCAAAGCGGCATGTTCTCAGATGAGTCACGCTTCTTTTTATCAGTGACAGTCGCCGCATACATGTGTGGCATCGTCGTGGTGACAGATCTAATCCGGCAGTAGCTGTGGAACGCCCCACCGCACGACAACGTGACATAATGGTTTGGGGCACTATTGCCTACGATTCCAGGTCACCTCTAGTTCGTATTCAGGGCACTATGATGGCCCAACGAACTTGGATAATGTACTGCAGCCGGTGGCAATCCCCTATCTTCAGGGGCTGCCTAAATGTAATTTTTCAGCAGGATAACGCCCGACCACACAGTGCTCGCATCTGCCAACATGCTCTGTAAGGTATACAGATGCTTCTTTGGCCACCGTACTCTCCTGACCTGTCACCAATCGAACATGAGTGGGATGTGATTGGATGCCGGTTGCAGACTCTGCCCATGCTTCGTTCAAAAGACGAACTGTGTCTAATGCTTGAAAGGGAATGGAGAGCCATCCGCACTCTTAGGACTCTCAGGACACCATCCTCACTCTTATTGAATCTATGCCTAGACGTGTTTCTTCGTGCATCGCTGTCCACGGTGCTCCTACATCCTACTGAGCCGACGCCGTTCTCGATCTGTATTCGGACTATCATTTTGAAATAAAGATCACTTATTGCTGCTTGCTGTCTCTTTTTTCCAATTTTCGTCACTTTCTGACCACTCTTTCTTGGTGTTGCATTTTCAGTGTTGAGCAGTGTATTACTTAGAAAATCATGATTGAAAAAGTACCATGGTGGAGAGGTTTGTATGAGCATCTCGTACAATCTATAAACGTGGCTGAGGAAAATACTTGGATAAGCGCTCCCCACACGTGAAGAACTAACAACAATTCTGGCAGAAAATGAAATGGTTTTGAATACGAGACCTTTGACATATGTAAACGATGACATAAATGAACCTGAACCACTTATATTATTCCACTTTCATAATTTTTGGAAAAATTACTTGAAATATCCCTTAAATTTCGTTGAAAGAGAAAAAAGTTCAGAATCCTTGACAGGGGGGAAAATGTACGAGACTAAGACTAATGTACCAGTCTACTTGAATGATTTTGGAAGAAGTGGAAACAACGTATTTCCTGGAGAGCTTCCAAAGATTTAAAGGGTGGAGTGGTCATACTGATCGAAGGATCATCAAAGTCCAAATTTCTGTCGGCTTTAGGAATTTTTCAAGAACTGTTACCTGGAAAAGATGGACATACTTGTGCATGCATTGTCAAAACGTCCGAAAGGATTGTATAAAAAAACCCATTCACATTTTATATTCATTAGAAGTCACTAACACACAATCGTAAAATGTCATATCCTTTTGTTAAATCATTTGATTTATAATCCATTAGTTATTAGTGTATTAGTTTTTTAGTAGTATTATAATTCTTTGAAAAAATTACAATATGTAAAATCAGGTTAATTACCATATCCTTTAGAACTTTAAAATGATTTTATTTATTATTCATGAATAATGCTTTATTCAATGTGTTTTATGCAATGGTTTATATTTACTAGTTTTATTTCATATTATTGTGAAAAGCTTAGATTTCATTGTGTTAGAAAATACAATTGATATGAATTGATAAATATGGTTGATATGGTCAATTGATCTTTATGGAACAATAGTATAGTGGTTACAATTTTGAGTATATATTTTATTCATTTGAATTTACATATTGTTTATTTCGTAATTATATATTAGAAAACTTGTTGACTTTTTTATTTTAGTAGTTATTAATTGAAAAATTTGAACATATAATTATTACTTAGTTGAAATCAATATGTTCATGTTATTGATTTAGCATTTGCGGTGAACTCTTAACAGAGTTCAGATGGGGAGCGCATGGAAATTATTTTGATTATGAATAGATGGCGCTAGCATTCATCATAAACGTGACATGCCTTTTTCCCTTCTCACGTACTTTTCACTGCAATTCCTCTTCTTTTCTGATTTGGCCTACCAGTGGCCGAGTGGTAAAGTCGCTGAACACTGGTAGTTTGGTCCAAGGTTGAAGTCCCATGAATGGGCCGACCATATGGCATTTTCATGGTTTTCCCCATGTGTAATGTGTATATGAGCCAATTTCTCTAAGAAAGTCCTCCACAAAGGCACCTCTCCACTTAGGCAAATAGCCCACAAGGCTTTGCCACATATATCAAACCAAATCTTTTCTGATTTAATTTCAGATACATGTTTGATAGGAGGAATTAAGTTTCTCTTAAATTTGATTCAGATTTTTGAAATCTTGATTCTGTTTGATTAAATTTAAACTGAACCACAAATGTTTATAAATGTAAATATTGTATAAATACAGTACAAGGTCCGTAATCCGGACGTCCATTATCCGGAATGATCTATAATCCAGACCTCAAAGCCACAAACTTAACGCAATGCACGCGTTGAAAGAAATGTTTAATAAAGTGAACAAATAAATATTAAGCTTTTTTTTTGTAAAATTTGATACCCTTTCGATCATAATTACTTTTTATTTCATAAATTACGGTTTCATATTTTTAATTGAATAATTTCTGCATGCCATCTTACCAGATTTAAATTGATCATCTATAATCTGGAAAAAGCCCTAATCTGGAATCACTGAAGTCCCAATGAGTCCTGATTACACACTTTGTACTGTATTAAATATCTTCTTTTTTAAACTTTTGAAGTTTTGATCTTTTTCAACAACTTAAGATTTTTATTATGTTCAATTAGTTGTGTTTTATATTCATTTCAGGTAGAGGAAGAGGCCGAGGTAAGGTTCCTGCACAGCAGATAATCCAGCAAAAAACTAGAGTGCCGTATGAAACTGCTGCTTCCAGTCACCCGGAATTCACTGCCCAAGAAGAGAAAAGAGGTAACAAAATAGTTTATGTTATGAAATATTGCAAAGTTAAATTTCTGCTGACTTTTTGACCATATAAATAAACTTACACATCTGCTTTCACAACTCCTGTATGATGGAACGAAAATAAGCTCAACCAGTGAATGAAAGAAAATGATCATCGTAGAGTGTAATTTTAAAGCCAGAGTTAGGCATAATGCTATAAACATATGAAACGATTGCATGAAAAAAACTGTTACTTTAAAGTTACATCTGACTATAAGGTACATCTGGCTATATGTGTAGTTGTAACCTTTCATTAAAATTAAGCTGATTATGAAAAATAGTCTCATACAAGTCATAGTATGTTGAGTAAAAATTACTCTTTTGAGAGAGGAAGGATGATATTAGTTTCAGAAATAAAATATTTTTTAAATTGGTTTTGTTTTCCCATTTTTATCTTAATAATTTAGTCTTTATAATTGTAAATTTTTGTCTCATAAAGTTAAAGTAAAAATTGTATGATTTTTCTGAGCAATATATGTGTCATGAAAAGTAGTTTTTTAATGAAATGTTTGTAAATTATGTACTCTGGTACCCCAAACTTAACACAGGGTTTGTATGGTCTTCAAGAGTCCTTGAAAGTCCTGAGTTTTTTTAAATCAATTTTTGGAATTTAAAAGCCCTTCAGCCAAATTTGGCAGAAACTCCTTAATTTTAATCATCTGAAATTTCTGTCTGTTTTTACGACTTTTATTTTTAGTGTGATTTTTATTTTTAGTGAATAGCATTTTGGAGGAATATTTTTAGAGATTCACTGACAAATATGGTTATCTTTCGAATGGGTTTATGAGTTTTAATTTGTTCCTGTTTCTAATATAAATGTTGGATACTCAAGTTTCTGGGCAAGAAGGGAGACATAAGCATTTCAAAATTATTTCATTTTCTTTTTCTAACGAAGAGCTCTTAACCAACTTTCCGCTTTTGGGAATGTTATTTCTTTTATGAGACGGTTCTAATTTTGGAGACTTATGAAAATGTTGATTTATTTGATGACTTATTAGAGTGATGTATCCAGAATAAAGATTTTTTTATACTCTTGCTGATATTTTTATGAAGAAATTCAATATTGACAGTTTGATGCTTATGTCTGGGGTGATGACACTGTCTGTGGCGACGATGGTTGGAACAAGGAAATGTGGCAAGTTTGAGGGGTGGCGGTGCAGCCAGCAACAACGCATCTGCTTACAAACGATGGCACTCCCGCAAGCCACTTCTACCTCCATTCTGCAGCATGTTCAAAACACCCTAGATGTTCCCATATTGACCAGAATTATTTGCCATTGATCGGTGGCTAGTGGCCTGCACTGATGGAGTCCGTTAAGAAGACTGCTATTGACTCCACATCATAGATGCCTACATCTGCAATGGCGCCAGGTGTGAGAGATGTGGAGGACGGAATGGCAGAGGGCCGTGTTCTTGGATTAATTATGCTTCTGTTTCTCCGATGGTAGTTGCTGCATATGAGTGTGGAGACAAATCCAATCCAGCAGCAATTGTGGAATGCCCCACTGCACGACAATGCAGCGTTATGGTTTGGGGGTGCAATTGCATATGATTCCAAGTCACCTCTACATCAAATCCAGGGCACTATAACTGCCCAGCGATAGGTGGATGATGTGCTATGGCCGGTGACAATCCACTACCATCATGGATTGATTGCCCAATGCTCTTTATCAGCAGGATAGCGTTTGACCTCTCATTGCCCACATCAACCAGTGTGCTCTGCAAGGTGTACAGATACTTTCCTGGCCACCATTCTCTCCTGATCTCTCACTAATCGAACACATTTGGGATGTGATTAAATGCCCTCTGCAGCTTCAACCATTGCCACGTTCAGAAGCCGAACTGTGGCAAATCGTTGATAGGAACTGGAGAGCCATTCGTCAGGACACCATCTGTAGTCTTATTGACTCTGTACGTAGATGTGTTGCTTCGTGTATTGACATTCAGGATGGTCGTACAACCTACTGAGCCACTTCTAAGTTTTTTTTTAAGCTTGCAGTTTCCTTGTTTATATTTTCATGTCTGCTTATTTCATATTTAAACACGGATCTTTTTTTTTCCGCTTTTCTTTTTTGTACTTGTATGCATTGCCAGTATGCCTACTATTAACTACTTTGCACTGTTTGTAAATAGGATACTGATGTGTTATCTTGAAATTAATTCAAATTACCTATTAGCGTATTTAGACCAGTGTACTACTGAGAAATGGAGTTTTAGACATGGTACCTGTGTCTTTGTATCAGTTTGTTAAGTATTTGTTACTTAATGCTTTACTACTTTTAACATAATATATCATAAAATGTATTTAAAGTGTGCACATTATTCAAGTCATCATGTAAGGTTTTATAAAATGCACTGAGTCACTTGAAATTTGCTTTGAGTATCCTTTTTATTTATTTATATCACATCTGTGATAGAATTTATAGTACTACTGTACCATTGAATCACGTCATGTATTTATTTAATTACTGTAATACTTTGCATATTGTTATTGAATTCCTACATTAAGCATATGTTTAATTATTATCATGTCTGTTATTTTACATATAGTATCACTTCATGTAACACTTTATTTGCTGTAATGTTTTGCATAATGTTACTTATAGGGTTTTATAAGAAATAAGTTTTCCCTTTTGTGATGATTCACATTAAGAAAATTTGATTTTTGACTAATGTAAAGTACATGTAGAGTAAGTAGGGCATTGTTTAAAGCACCTAATGTAATAACCTAACACACTGAATTACTTTTTTTTTTGTTGTTGTTGTTGTTGTTTTTGTTTAACTAAACTGAGAATATAATCCGTTTTCTGAATTCTAAACTGAGAATATAATAGATAGACTTATGTTCATAAATTAGTACTTTGCACTATTCTGGGCCCATAACCTGTTCATATTACTGGTTTAAATAAATTTATTTAAGCTTAATTAATTATTAAGTGGAGTACAAATTACAATAATACTACAAGCTATACACATCACTGAAATACCTTCATAGAATATAAGCACAAGAGTATAAGTGTTGCCAAAAAGTACAAAGAAAGCGCTACATTGGAATTACGTATTTAACATAAACTTCCACAACAATTAGAAAATAAATCATCAAAATAATTTTTATTGCATATTAGAATTTACTTATCACATTAATAAACAAACAGTATAAATGCAAGCAAGTGTTCCATTATGATTTTCAGTAACTGCAAAACAGGAAACCCAAAATCTGTCATTTTTTGGTGGTCTGGTAATTAGTAATGTCCCTTTATGTTGGCACCATTTTCCTCAGCATTCTTCGGGTTTTTTTTTTTTTTTTTTTTTTTTTTAAATTTTCTAGGTAGTTATGAGCAAATATCATTTCTTGATTTTATAAAGCATTTCTGTACATTTATAATTAAAAAATTTTTAAAGTATCTATCTATATATATATATATCAGAATACAAGATTTAATAAAATATAATTCAAATAACTAAATTGTATTAAATAAAAATGCCATATTTTAAATAAATATTTTCATGCAATTTTAAACTTTGACGTAATTGTCAAGTTTTAATGCGGAAAATTTTATATATAGATACATCTGAAGCTACAGTATACACTAATAAATTTATTTGAAACTGAACAGCAATTGGTTCTTACTTGAATTTGTTTTCATCCTTTATTTTAATTGTTTATTTAATTATGGCTGATCACTCAAATGTGGCCCACCAAAAAAGAAATACTTTCATGAAAAAGTAAGGAAAACTGGTTTACATAATTTAGTTACAGTTTTCTATAAAATTCAGAAACCAAAAATAAATGTAGATTTTAAGACTAAATGCGAAAAATGACAAGTTATTCTAAGGAAAAATACTAAGAACTGCAGATAAAGAAAACACTTAAATTTCATAACTGTATAAAAACTACATGCTAAATTTCTGGTTATATTGCAGACTTATCAGATTCAATTATAAAGGCAACTTATATTATGTAGTGCACTTTATATGTATTTTTAGAACATTTGCAAAACAAAAAAATTAAATTTCTTAATTTGGTGTCTTATACTATTAATAGGACCAAATGTAGGAAATAAATGCCAAAATGTTCTAATTTTCTTAAATACTGTCATTTGTATTCATTCACAGTTAATGTTTTGATGTTCATGTCTGACAGCAGATCATTTTTACTTTGAGATGGTTATGCATTAAAAAACGTTTCCCTATCCAGAATGTGAAATGAGTGGTTAACTAATATTTATTATTTGTTGCTCAAGCAATAGATAATAATAAAAGATTCTGATACGGGTGCTAATTTAAAAACAAATCTTTTGGAATGCAAGAAGTAAAGAAGGCTTACATTGAAACATCAATCTTAACATTTAATGCTACAAATAAATTTTTGAAGTTTTACATAAATAAAGAAAGCATGAATATGAAAATTCTAAATTAGTATCTGAAATAAGTATGTTTTTATATTATATAAATTCTGTTCAGAGCAGCATTGTAATAAATTAATACATCAGTTTTTGTAAAAGAAACAGAAATGCCTCACCATGTATGCTCAGAAATAATCTTAAAACGGATAAGTAAGGGTGCGATGAAGAATGCAAATTTTAACTTCAGAAGTGGGAAGGTGGATAATTCTGAAGAATATTTTTATGCTGCTACAGGATTTTGTATATATGTAAATAATTTTAATGAAATTATATTTTTTGTATAATATGAAATGCTTGGAATGAGACAAAACTCTGTCAGAATAATAATACAGAGGCATGTCTATTTACCATTGAGTAAATGGCTGTCTTGCAAAATTGGCGCAATATCACCCAGCTAGTGATCATTTTGGCAATTAATTATTGTCACCAAACACAGTTATTTATTAAACAAAATTAATTATTGTCACATTTTGGTCCAAACAAAATTAATTATTGACACATTTTGGTCCAATGCCTTTAAAACTGAATTGGTATTGTGATTGAATAAATCTAAATAATGGC